CATCATAAACGTCAACTTTCGATTTCCTACTGAATAAACAAATGTCTCTTTGAACAACTTCATTAGAAGTACGAACTTTATCCTATTCTTTCTTACAGAATCGAGTTGATCACTGGGTGTTGAGGATTAAGGTGAATCAATAGATATCAAGATGATGAGTTTGTTTGGTTGGAGGATTTCATCATGAGCTGATATCAATCATTTAGAGAACCACTGGAAAACCGCAACAGGAAATACTTGGACTTTTCTGCAGTACGCACCCACCGGGGTTCGAACCAAGGACCTTCTGTTACAAGGCAAGCTAGCTCGTAGATAACTGAACCATTGGGGCCCAATTTAATGGCCTATGAATTCTAACTTCGGCCATTTCATGATAATTTTGTAGCTAACAAACGCTACTTTCTTAATTCACCAGATCAATAGATGCGACAGTGGTATTTGAAAAAAATGGACCATGGGTTCATTTCACAGTAGGAGAGATGGTACTGGAATAAAGGTATTTCCCAGCAATAAGTTCTGAGAACGACGATCTTATCACTAGTCATAGTCAGTTCTTTTTTGTTTCAAAATGTTTATTTCAGACTCTTTTTTGTTTTTCCGCCTAGTGTTTCTGCTTTTATTTTCCTGATTGACAAAATTTCTGATAAGGTCTGTTTGGTATATGATTCACTGCTGTCAAATGTAAGATGATGCTACAAGACTGGACTACATAAACTCCTAGCTTAAAGGTAGGCAGGAGTGATGTGGTAGAGGATGTTGACCATTTCACTTATTTGCGGAGTTGCATCAGCCAGCACCAGTGAGTTGATCTCTAACGAGAACTCATCATGGATACAGAAGGCTCGTTTGGCATAGACCAACTCACGCCATCTCTGGCTTGGTAGACGCGAGGTCTGGTTGTAGACGAAAGGGCATGTATACTACCCAGCGCAGCAGATTTCTCTGTTCTCCTTTATGGCTGTGAGTGAGACATAACCATTGAGAGTGGAAGACATGAAAAGCCTGGCTAGCTATCTTTGATCATGGGTGCATGTGTTCTATCTTCCTTGTTAGGTGGTGTAATAGGGTGAGTAATTTTGAGGTTAGGCATCAGTCGAGTGTTAGGTATGGAGGGGAGATCAATCGATGATATTCTGAAGTTACATCGATTGAGTGAGATGGTTAGGACATGTGTTACGGATGTCTAGCCACCGATCGCCTTCCTCGACGGGCTATGTTAAATACTGACATAGGATGCATCAGGTTGAAGAAGAGATAGTGGTAATCAAACCAAAAAAAGGCTTCATTAGTCAACCAAATCCACAACAGTTAGTTTAAGCCAGTCAGCCAATCAGCCACGTGGGGAGGTGTATAATGGTGTCTGGTTGGGGTCCTCGGGATGGTAAGAACCAATGGCTACTGGAGACAATTGGTGATACGGCTCAAAGTCATTCTCGATAGCTGGTGCAGGTGCATCCACTCCTTGTGATTTTTCATATCCAATAAAACTCTATTGTTCTCCCTTATTACTATTCATCATGAAACAACGCAAACCGGATAACCATTGAAAATTAGGGACTATTCCTTCATAATTCGGATCTTTTCAGATAAGTAAACAACTGCACCAGGAACCAAAACTAAGACCTTCATGACACCGGACATCAATTTAATACTAAATTGAATATCGAATAAATTTAGGAAAAAATGTAATACGGTATTCATGAATTTATAGATTCGATAACAGGCCAGGGTTTGTAGCCTTTTCCGACCAGGTGGTCTTATATCGGACTATGCATTTACTTAGCCATAGTGATAGGTGTTCCCGAAGATGAAAAACTAAGTTCCTAGAGCCACGGCCAATATAGCTGACTCTATATCAGCAGTTATTATTATTGTTATTACTATAATTATAATTATAATAACTAATATTATTATTGCAAACCTGACCGATAGAATTCAGTCTGTACCAAAGAAAAGATTAGACACACCGCACTAGTTACTAGTGTCCAATCAAGGTATCCACTACATTCCTACAGGAGGTCAATCGCTAACCTAAATGGCTCAGTAGTAATATCTGTGACTGCACCACTGGGCGACGTGGGTTTGAATCTCAGTCAGAAAGGACATGAGTTCCTTCGAAGTTGCAAATACATCTTGCTGAATGGTGAGTGCCAACTAGCACGAAACCTAAGTCGAGCAAGGCTTCCTGCTGATTGCCTCCAACCATTTAATATCATCAAATCAATGTGTACCATGATAGTCACATTGCAAATCTGACTGAAAGAATTCAGTAAGCATCACAGAAAGGACTAGACACATCACACTAGTTAATAGTGTCCAATCAAAGTTATTATCATATATTCATCAATTGATTCAATGTTATTTTAAAAACATTTTTGTTGTCAATAACAGTCATTCTTTAACTTTTGTGGATGTATTGCTTTAGGACCTGATGAAGAAGTTATTGGAAAGAATATTCTTTGTTCATCAATCGCTCCTCTGAAATTATGATATAACAGTTTTATAACTGATGCATAATTTGTGGATGTCATGGTAGAATTTCGTCTATTTCCTCAACTTGAATCTCCTTTCAAACATTTCTTGAATCCAATTCATGTGTTATCTTTAATATAGTTACTATGAAACCAAGTATTACAGAAATATAACTGGTGCAGTTAAACAGAACTTGAAGCAACTAATCAGAGTAAATCGGTCTAATCTGGGTGGTGATCAAAAAGTACATCCGGGAAAATAAAACCGACGACATTGATTGGGGTCGCACTAAATCACGAACTGGTAGAAGTTAGAATTCATGAGTTGGCCATTGAATCGGGTCCTATTGGCTGGATGACTTACGAGATTGCATTGTAACCAGAAGGTCCTGGGTTCGAACCCACTTGTGGTGGGTGCCTACTGCCGATGATTCCCAAAACTAGGATGAAACAGCTGTCCAGTACTCCAGTGCTGATTTCCAATGGTTCTCTGACTGATATCAATCCGTGATCAACTCGTAAAAACAAAACCATTCCTTACAAACCAACTATGGAAGATTTAAAAGTGTAACAATACTAAAAAGGGTTTCCCTACCTTAAAATATCAATGAATAGTTATCAGTTCTCAAGAGTAATAATGCTAATATTCATTACAGTAAGTATCGTTTAGAGTTTAGAGATAGGATTTACGGTAAGTGCCTTAAATCTGCTCCATAGGTCCTGAAGTATATTCGTTATTATAGCAAAAATTAAATCGATTTCACCGAAACTTGCATTTCTATTATTACCCATCCAAACTGTGGCTAGATGCCTCAAATTCATTGAGTAGGTCTCTAGTTTTACCATAATGAATACAATTTATGGCCCATAACCTTTTTTTTCTTCATCACTGTATTGTGTCTTCTGAGTGGTACACACAGCTTCAGGTTTCAGCTTTAAAGTTTCGAGTAGCGGTAGTTGTGTTGCTTCTGCCGAGTGAGATTTCTAGCCTCACACCAAACCTTCCCTCTCTTCCTGGTTTACTCTCAGCCAGCAAAACTAGGGCTATGTTTAGAAGTTCGTTGGCCTGGAATTGAACCCAGATCCACCTTTTGCTAGAGGATTAGGGGAATTGAATGACATAAAATGATTTACGCATGATGATGAAGATTTGTAGCGCAGGTGCATAATATTGGTGACGTTATGTTCTCAGAGTTGGGTGGATTATAACTTTGAAGCTTTCATCATCTTTCTAGGCGACATATCCCGTGCAAGTTTCACTATGTGCGAATAGTATAACCAATTCACTTCTGGTAACCTTGATTGTGATCATTATTATTATTGCTGTGATTTTTATTCTTGTTCCCTTTGGTTCCCAGTGGAACATAGGGCTTCAACAGTAGTCCTGTAGTCCCCTTTATCGCCCATAGTCTCTGATCTCCTCTATGCCACCCTCGGACCAACGTCTGCTCGTCGTATCCCATTCCGGTTCCACTCGAGCGACGACCTAGAGCGTGTTGTCATTTGACGTGTGTCCAATCCATCCCCATTTACTTCTTTACATATTTGTTGAGCAACAGATTCGTGATTAGTTACAGGATTTCATCATGAGCTGACATTGATTAGAGAACCATTGGAAAACCAGCTGGGAGTATTGGACAGTGGTTTCGTCCTAGTTTGGGACTCTTCACAGTGCGCACCCATCGGGCTCAAACCCAGTGAGATGCTGTCTGGCAACTGGCCCCATTCAGGTAGGTAGTTACCTGGGGTTCTAGTGAGAAGTCGTGACCAGTAGGGTGCAGCAGGTCGGGTGTGCGGACAAATACTCACCGAAGACATTGGCTAGGGGTTGCGCTATATCGTCAATTGGCAGAAGCTGGAATTCATGGACTGGCCATTGGATCGGGTCCCAGTGGCTTAATGGTCTACGAGCTCGCCTTGTAACCTGTGTTCAAACCCTGGTGGTGGGTGCATGCCGATGGAGAGTCCCAAACTAGGACAAAACAGCCGTCCAGTACTCCCAGGTTTCCCAATGGTTCCGTAACTGATGTCAGCTCATGATGAAGTCTTGTAACCAATCAATCAAATCCCTACAAACCAATACTTGAAGATTCGGGATTAATTAGTTCCCAGAGTTTCTTGTCCGTAATTCTTTCCAGCCTGTTTTTTGCCTGATCTTCAGTATGGATCCAGAGAAGGTGACAGTTGTTGATAAATGTCTGCAGCAGGCTGTTCGGAATGCTTTTTGATAAGCGCCAAGTATCTGACCCATATAGAAGAAGTGACTGACATAAAGTTGGTGTTGAAAATCCATATTTTGTTGTTTATGCTGTGTAAACTATATTTCCAAACTGATTCCAGACTGGTGAAGGCTTGTTTTGCCTTTCCCAATTCCGATTTTGACATCCTCATCCCTACCTAATTGTTTGTATGATTTAATGTAGAGTCATGTGATCAATATCACTTAACAAAAAGTATTTAAATAACATTAATAACAATTAATCGATAAATCTTAATTATTATAATGTGAATATAATGTGAATTAATATAATGGCTAAAAAACATCAAAAAGATGGTAAAATTAAAAAGTTAGAACGTAAATCAAAGACAAAACATGACAGACCTAATTCAGAAGTCGACTGTAATCAATCAGAATCATCACAACATGAAATTTATCCACATCAATATCATCCTCATTATGATATAGAAAGACAACAACAATATCCACAAGATAGAGAACACTATCAACCTCGTCATCACAACGCATACTATCAACACAGTCAGCAATTGCAACAACAACCCCAACCCAACACCCCAGATATCCTCAACGACATCAACGTCTGCATCAATATTTCCAAAAGAATACAGATCTATCAAAGAGTACGGCATCTGGAGATGATTTGAAATTCACATATGCCTGGTGTCAACTATGGTTATGCGTAATACTTACCTTATTATTTCCATTCACTATATTCGGTTTAATAACACTTGTATTAATGTTAACAGCTTATACTGATTTAAACAATAAACAATTTGTACAATATCAACGTAAGATAAAACGAACAAAGTATATACTAGCAATAGTTTATTTTACAATATCACTTTTATTCTCTTTATGCCTAACAATGATAATTATTTTATCGTCTACAAATATGTTGAATAAAGCTGAAATTTTAAACAAAACACGTGAATATTTTAAAAAATTATTTCAATGATCAACAACAATATATATATATATATGTATTGAAGGGAAGAGTTCCGCTTCAAGTCATATTACGCGCCATGTCCAATATTCAGTGTTCAATGGAACAAGTCAAAAAAGTGGATAAACAAAGAAACTGGTAAAATTTTAGATTTTTTTTTGTTTTATTCTTTTTTATAAAAATGACTTAATATACTGTAAATGCCTTGAATTAATTTTAATTTTTCTTAAAATTTTATTATTTTTAACGCTTAACTCATGTAAACTAAGCGAATTGACAAGTGCATAATAATTTGCATAAATAATAATATATTCTTTATGTAAATTAATTAAAGCATCTCTATAGTCAATTAATGCATCCCTGTAATCACAATGAAAACAAATACATTTCTTTCTAGCCATCAAGTGATTTGTAAACCATAATTTAATTCTTTCCCATTTAGGTGTAGCCATTTTTTGTATGTATAAGCGTACAGCTTCCATATAAGGTTCACATGTTTTACGATATAATCGTTCATTGTCTTGAGCTTCAATTTTATCAATTAAATGTTCAATGTCATAGTGAAATTCGGTTGTATTCATCAGTGGGTATTTTTTGTTTAAATCTGATTCTTTCGATTTTTGTCGAATAGTTGTAGGAGTACTATTCACATAGATTTGATTATCATCTGTAATAGTAATAGTATTCGCATGAAACAGGTTATGATAATCTCTATGCAATGAAATGTATTCTTCATACAATTGACCTAATGCACTAGTTAATGGTTGAATTAAATATCCAAATTCGCATAACTGGGAACATTTACACGGGAAGGGTAATTTTTTATTCTTTCTAAGCGCTTTACGTATACGTTGTTCTTCGAGTAGGATATGCTTAACATCACGATAGATACGTGGATTATTCAACTCAACCATAACGCGTAAATCATCATCCTCAGGGAGATTTTTAGTCATTGAACCAGAATAACTATCATCATCATCATCGTCATTGATTGTTAGTTCAGTATCCACTGTGTTGACTGTTTGTTGAAGGCTAATACCGCCACCACCACCACGACCACCGGAGATATTGCTAGTCCGAGTTTGATGGGCACCAGCTTCATTACTCTGACGACTAACAGCACTGTTAGACTTTCTTTCTTGTGACGAGAGTATGGATCGTTTCATAATGCGTCAGCGGCCTGTAAGCAGATAAGGTAATAAAAATAATTAAAACTGAAAACACTGAAATTTAATAGAAGAGTAGTGTAGTAATTTGAGTGTAGTAATAATACTGCCTACTATCGCCAATGGTATTCCTTCTTACAGTAGACTGGATAATGCGACAAACAGCGGGAAATGAGGAAACAGGCATAAACTGGACTCACACAAAATACTTGGAGGATCTGGACTTCGCCGATGATATATGTCTGATTTCCCACAAACTGGAAGATATGCAAGCGAAAAGCAACAAGTTGGCAGAAGAAGCATCAAAGATAGGCCTTCAGGTGAACATAAAGCAAACAGAGGTGATGAAGATACCTGGACAACAACAAAAACAGACAACAATCAACATAAATGGAACGAACCTGAAAAAAACAACCTCATTTACCTACCTGTGAAGCATCGTTTCAACTGCAGGCGGACGGAACAGATGAGGATATCAAAGCAGCGAGGATCGGAAAAGCAAGGCAAGGTTTCATTACGCTCAAGTCTGTTTGGAGATCAACAGCACTGAGCATGAAAAACAAGGACAAAGGACTGGATGCACGACACTAGTTACCATATAGTGTCCAGTCAAAGTAAATAAAGTGCTCATTAACAACAACACCATTAAGTTGGTTCAGAGGTACACCACTAATCCAGCTAGTGTAGTATAACATGGTCTTCTTTTTTGTAAAGCACGCAGAAGAATAATAAGGAAGAACGAAGAATTAATGGCATACGAATTGACAACTTTTAACAAAGCAGGTCGATTTATTCCTGAAAGTCTCAATTTCTTTATATAATTACTCAGAAGAAAGATTATTTTAGAAATCCGTAAGATATGAGATGGCTAACAAAGATGTGAAGATGAACTAACACAAAGAAAGGCGATATTAGAATTATTTCCTACCACAGTGACATTGATGATACAAGATTCATGTAAATTAGTCACTTCACGCAAATCGTATTCCTGCCTAAAACTAAAACTAACAGCCTGACATTTTGGGGGATTCAGTTTAAGACCATTCGAATAACACCATTGACTGACTTCAGATAAGAAACCAAACTAATGCATAAACTGTTGGGACAAAAAGCATCAAATCATCAGCATATTTGATGAAATATGCTTTAAAGGAACATGATAATTCGTGTAGAAAGGAAGAAAACAGAAATGAAAATAAACATACATCTCCTTGTCAAACATCAGCATCAGTAAGCAAAGAAGTTGTTTGTTTCCTACATTATAGACAGGAAGATAACCACCTTGTAACCGAGAGATCAGTGACTACTAAAGTCAACTTGCTCAGCAAAAGTGTTATAGGAATAGAATCAAAAACAGTAGTGTAGTCTAACAAACTTCGCCTTTCTATCTAGAATGGAAATAATATTACAATGCAGTAAAATAACAGTCTCTAAAATGTTTCAACTGCATTTTTTAACCAAACTGCACCATTATGACGAACTGAGATGAACAAGAGAACTAGTTTGAGGAAAATGAGGCATTGGAGAAATAATATCCCTCTTGGTTTCAACTTTTTAGAGTTATCCATCGACGATCTCCTAATAAAACAATGACCTTTAATCTCTATATTCATGAATTAGGAATTTACACATGATGGCTACGCACCTTTGTAATGGGGAATAATTCCATCAAATCACTTGACTGAAACCTATTCATCATTCAGTATTATTTTTTGAAGCTACATCGACTGAGATAGTTAGGACATGTGTTATGCATGCCTAGCCTAGCCATCATCTTCCACGACAGGCAATGCTAACCACTGACATAGGATGCATCAGGTTGAAAAAGAGCTAGTGGTGGTGGTCAAACAAAAACATGGTTTCATCAGTCAATGAAATCCACAACAGTTATTTTAAGGCAGCCAGCCACGTAGGAAGGTGAAGACTCCCTGACTGGTTGGAGTCCCCGGGACGGTAAACACCAATGAAGGCTGGAAACAATTGGTGATATGGTTCAAAATCCTCATTCTCAATGGCTGGCGCAGATGCGTCCACTCCCTGTGGCTTATTATACCCAATAAAACTGTATTGTTCTCCGATATTACTATTCGTTTTGCCTCATATCTCTGTCTACTGTTTCTATTTCGCATTTCTTTTTACTTTTTTTCCTTGTTTTGTGTGGTAAGTGAAGTGTGGCGACTCGAACTGCTCCACATCGTTGGAAAGTTCTATGTTGAAACCAGTCAGTCATTATTTGTTGACACAGTTTAAAATAATCAACAGATATTGTAAACAAGGCAGGGTTTAGTGACTTCATCAAATCTTGGTAGAACTCCTCAACTGCTAAAAAATTCTACATAGTGATATATATATATATAGTTAGAATTACATTGGGAGATATACTGTCTGATAAGTAAATAAACTGCTATGAGTGAGTCATATAAAACTGCTGATACGAGAAATTTAGAGAGAGGTTCAAATATATAAGGAGGAAAGGGTATCAGAGACAAATACTAAGTGCAGAGGCTTGTGTAATTCGAGTTTATAAATCCGACCTCTGTGTACAGAAAGAAATGATGGTTACTTTGAAAATACCGTAGTAATATGTCACAATTACTAACTATTATTACTGTCATTACTTTATTCTATTTCTTCTTATTATTATCCTTCACCTTTTTAATTCAGTTATGATTCTCTCGTTGATTGATTGGACCGAAATGTCGACCCTGAGTGCAGAGGCTTAGACGACATCTAAAGATCAACTTAAAGTAATTTTGGTGGATGGTGACTAGCACTGGAATCTAGGATGAGCTTTTCGCCCTATTTGAGACCCGTCGGCTGGATGTACTTGCATCCCATCTGAGAAGACCCAAAAATAATCTAGAAGATAATGTTTTGGCATTTGAAACGACGGGTACTGGGCTCCAGTCTCAGTGGAAAAAGCATCACTCACTGGGGAATGCACGTAAATCCAACTGACGAGTTCCAAACAGGAAGAAATGAGTATCCTGGATTCCACTGCTAGTCACTATCCTCCAAATTACTTCAAATTCTTGCATTATTAATATTATTATTATTCACTTTGCAATTTCAAACATTTTCAAGTTCTTTCTCTGATATTTTCAAGTATTGGTTTTGTAGGGGTCTTTTGTTTTATTGGTTGAAGGATTTCATCATGAGCTGACATCAATTAGAGAACCATTGGAAAACCACCTGGGAGTAATGGACAGCTGTTTCGTCAGCCTAGTTTGGGATTCTTCATCAGTACACACCCACTGGGGTTCGAACCCAGGACCTTCTGGTTACAAGGCGAGCTAGCTTATAGACCATTAAGCCATTGGGACACTACCCAATCGCCTATGAATTCCAACTTCCGCCAATTCACGACATATTGCGACCACTAGGCAGTGTCTTCTTCGATGAGTCACTGCCTCACCTTCTCTGATAATTAATTATTTATTTAATTGATTTAACTCAACAGTAATGCATTGTTACCCTAAATTTCACCATATATGACCTGAAAAACATTCACACCTGTCGTTCTGCATGACTGATTCAATGCAGTTTATTTACTTATCAGTCATATAAGTCCCAATATAATTTTAATGGTACACATATCCCTGAATGTAGAGCATTCATCTGAGGAGTTCTATCGAAATTTGATGAATTCATTAAACCCTGCTTTATTAACAACATTTGTTGCTTGTTATAAATTCTTATTGGGAAGTAAATGTTTCCAATAATCATAATGATAGAGAGATGATATCATTTAGTGGGGGAGGTGACACTAGCAGTGGGAACCTTTAGGGCATGTGCATTTAGTCCCATCTGAGACTCATCAGCTGGTGACTGCTTTGGTAGACTGGTCCAATTGTTAATACAGGATCCATAGCTGGCTAAGCACACATTGTGACTTAAAACTATAGATTTTGAAAATTATATTTCATGTTTTAAACAATGCCACTGCTGTTCTGAATGGATTTAGTAACCATTTTTTCGGTCTACATTAAATAAGTACATTTGGGGTTTGAAGATAAAACATATAATGGCATGGAAATTCGCTATTAATTTTCTGATAATTTTGTTTAAATACCTTTTACTTTTATTTAATTAGGTAGTTCAAATGTGGGTATGTTGAAAAAGATTTGTAGCTCATGTCGATGACACTGGTGTAGTTGAGTTCTTAAGTTAACTTCAAATTGAAGTCTACGCTGAAGATGCTGCCCAGAAAGACACAAAGACTAAACTATACAGGTCAGAGAACACAAATACACTGAAATCATCCATCTGAGCTACAAATCTTCTCAAATATTTTGTCGATTAATCTACTTCCTTCTAAAAACTTCTATCATATGCAGTCAGTATCCACAAAATACACTTGTAACAAAATTTCCTTCCTCTTCACTAGATTTCAATATGGTAGACTACATTCTCCATGACTTAAAAAGAACAATAATCATGTCAAGTCAGACTTGGTATGCACATCACCAAGAGCATTTCGGAATTCCGTCAACACCCACCCTCTTCGTTTGACGCTGGTAATTTAGATATAATGGAGAAGATTTGTAGCTCACTCATGTGAATGGTTTTGATGTAGTTGTGTTTTCTGAGCTTAGAGAACACAACTACATCAAAATACTGAAAATTAGATGACTGGAGATTGGAAAGGATAAGAAATGAAGAACTCTAGTAGTAAACTAGCCATCATGCTATTCCTCAGAACAAAATGCTGGATAAAATGGAGATGGACTGAAATAACTCAATGAAGATTTTCAAGTGATATCACACGTTAGCACTCAAGTAGAACCGTATTTAGAAGTGACCAACTGGGCATCCGAAATTAACATGGAGAAGGTCATATAAAGAAGAAATGAAAGTTTGTGGGACATATTTTTATCTCATATCAGAGAAAAATACCCTGTTTAATGCTTTTTCATGCTTTTTTATGTAAATATATGGGCAATGTTCAACAATAGCATCCCAAGTGATGCCAACGCACTAGTGACCTTTAGCCGACCAAT